GAGTTTTCTAATTTTTCATATACGTTAATAATTTTTTAGTATGCTACCAAAAATTATTAATTAATATTATATTATATGTAAAATTCTAATGTGTTTTATATAAGTTGTAAACATAGATTATAAACGCTTTTAAACCTCGTTAGCCACCACATCATCTAATTTTGATTCCCAAATTCCTGTTCTGTTCTCGTTCACGAAAATTCCCGTTTCAAATTTTTGTTTGCCCACTCCCTACTAAAGAATTTCACTAACATTCATCCACTGTGTGAATAGATTAAGTTTCAAACAAAAAAAAAATGTTATTATTTACAATGAGAAATTACAATCCAAAATTATTGGATCGTAGTTATCAAAATTCTTGATCAAAGATTTTTATAAGCTTAAATGGTCCATGACTTCTCCTTCTACCATCCTCAGGCCGAGCCACAACTGAGCAAAATTTGCAGCAACAATCTAGTTTGCTTGAAGTTTTTTTTTTTTTTTGAAACTTTAGTTTGCTTGAAGTTGATAAGCAGATTGATAACACATGAGCTTTCCTCCTCAAATCGTTTGCACCTAAAGCTCCAACCATCCCCAAAATAGCTGCACAAAATCTACATTTTGTCCGCATTGAGTCTTGTGCTAAAATATGAAAAAATGAAGAAAAAAAAAACTATTGATAAATCAGTGAAAGGTTAGCTCCTCCTTCTTCTACTACTACGAGTACTCCAAGAATAGAGATTTCAAGATTTCAACTGAAGTGTATGTGTGGAGATGAATGACTGGATAAAAACTTGCTAATGTTTGTGTCGCCCACGTCAAAGTTGACGCAAATTAAACCTAACTAAATCCCTGCTAAAAATTATAGGATTGGTAACAAAGAGTGGTAAGTTCCTAACTGTTGAACTTGAGTATCCCTTGATTTCATCAACTTGCTCCATTGCAACCAACAAAGGCATACAGTTAGACATTTCCAAAACATCACTCCTACTTGGGTTCTGATCTGTAAAGCTACTTTTCAGTTAAACCCTTAATAGCTTTGCAAGCTTCGATCTATCATCTTTGGATCCATAATGAATTCAAATCCAGCGACAAATCATCTTTTCGTCGAGGAAATAATCAAGAACAAGGCTTCAAGCTTGAGGTGTAAATGACCAGCTTTCGCTCCCAAATTGTTGCAACTATGGTTACAAGCCTCATGATCTACCTCTCTCCACTCACATCTCACGACTGCTAGGGTTTCTCCGTGGAGAATAGATAGTCTCTGCAATCAATAAATTTGGCGGTTAGTTCGGTATATTTGTTTTTCTTCTGCTTCTCGTTATGGTCAATCCAATTATGGTTTGGTTCTTGTTTGGTTTTACCTAGGCTAGTTTTAGCAAAAAGAAGAAAAACTATATCACTTTGTTTCAAAATTCACTTCAACTTTCTATGTAATTGGTTTTTATTAGTCATTCGGCTAGTAAAATTCTGAAAATTCGATTGGCGCCATGTAAATTCTTATTTCTCAAGCATTTTAACTGAAAAATATTTTAAAAAAAAAACTGTTGTTCTGATTTGGATTTTTTAACCGTGTAAAAATAAAAATAAAAATAAAAACTGGTTCGCCAATCGCCACTAGAAGTGCGTAAGGTTTCTTCCACAAAATTTTGATTTCTCCGGCCTCTGCTCTGCTATATTTAGGCTAAAAGATTTTCCCAAGTTCCAATTTTTCTTTCCAATCGTTCGTAAATAAATTTTCAATTCCATTCTTGTTTGTACATTACTTCAGTCCTATCGTATACTACTAGATTTGGGATTTCTAACGTGATCTAGTTGCAATATGAAAATTGTTCTCTTATAATAAAATATCGAGTGAACACTGACAAAATACAAATCCTAATCAGTAAATTTCCGTTCGGATCTAACGACGCAGGTCAGAGTTAGGACAAAGTCATGGAAGCTGACGAACCCAACTCTGACCAATATCTAATAAGCCCATGACATCAATCTCGAGCTTTGGAGGTTCTGTTGTAAAAAATACAAGCTATACATTTGTTGATCACATTTTGGTCTCTCTATTCTTCTCGGTCTCTTCTTTGCTAGTGTTGAGCTTCGTTTGGTAATGTCTGAGGACTCTTCCTGAATACATGTTTCCTGCACCGCTCAAAGATACTGTCGTAGATCAGATCGAACTCCACCCCTGCTCGCTCTCGGTTCACAATGAACAGAATATGATCTGCCTCCACGATCTTGTAGTACCTGATACAATCAAGAAAACCCGGTAAGACTCTTTATCTCTCAGTGAAGCTTCAACAAACTCTAATCCAACCAGAATGTAAGAGCTAACCAAATGCCCGGTTGGAGCGGGAGATAGTCTGAGTCACTACGAACAATGAGATTAGGATGTTCAACGGGAATTCGTGGGTGAGTCATGGATATTGTGTTTAATGCTCCATCATTGTCCTGCCAATCTTCATCTCTGCAAAACCCATCTTAAACCGTAATTTGTATATTCGTACTAAGTGCAGCTTAAAGTGGTTATATACAAAGTTCAAAGAATTTTCACCTGTAACCCTTATAAGGCAGAGGAATGTCATTTGGAAAACTCCATTGACTAATCTGCAACACGCGGATGAAAAGCAGAGGATGGATTCCCGTCACACMTGAAGGAACAGTCATCATCCCAAGAAGGTTTCTAGTACGTTTTGTCGCGTAGCTGAAGTAGAAAGTGTTTGGGAAAGTCTGAAGATGTGCATTGATCCGCATTGATCCCTGGATTGAGAGGTCAGCCAAGATCCAATCTCCAGATCCAGCAAAAGGGCCTGCGTTTCCAAGAAGACAATCGACAAGGCCTCGTAAACCTATCTTCTTTCTCGACATGTTGAAATGATCAAACCCGAAATGGTAATAGGATTTGAGCCAAGGAATGTCGAGCCACTCGTACATTATGACTCCAAGTCTGCAAATCTGAAGTAGAGATATGGTTTTCAGGGACTTCCCGTCCTCTGGCCTGACAATAATATCAAACATTTTGGATTATAATCCGAAAGTATTCTTAGCTAAGAGGTCACAAAAAGGAAGAGCAAACTCACCGAATTCCATCGAGGTAGGTTCGAGTAGTCCCATTTAATGCTCCTGACAATGATGTCAAACTCAAAACCCAGTTCTCATTCGTGTTCTCATAACCCTTGAACGCCTGAAAATAACACAACACAAGCAAATAAATATCAAAACACACAACCAAATCCTGCTCAATCGATAGATTTGGTGAGGCAAATTACCTTGTCAGCGAGCATTTGCTGCAAGACACGAACAACTTGAGCACCAGCAGAATGACCAACAAAGTGAATAGGATGATCTTCATCCCATTCTTGGTATTCCCCTGAAGCAAAATCAACGATTCATCAGCACAAGAGCGAACTTCTAAGGCTAGTCAAAAAGAGAACACATAAAAGACTAAAACCTTTTTCATAGAAACGACCAAACTGAGAGTGCCCACAAGCTTGACTATGATCTTCTCCATAATCAACTATCCCACCTTTGAGGTAATAAAACAATTCTCTTGCCCTGAAAATACCCTAACTCATCCTTTATCAGCAATTCACAACTGAGATTATATCATAACTGAGACTAATATCATAACAAAATAAAATCCACAAAAAGATTTGAACTTTCTCTTTTACCTATCGTGTACACTAGTCAAAGATCCCAAATCAGGCACTAACACTCTCTCGTCTTTCTTCTCTGCTCCTGCAAAGTATGATAAACCACCCAATCTCTGCAATGGCAAATCCAGTTCATGAACAACAAAAAACAAAACCTCTTTTTAAATGTAAATGAGAAAAGAATTGCTTTTGCTTACTCCTTTGCCAAATCCGAAAATCCCATGGACCAAAACAATGGGAGGCAAATCATCGGCGTTTGTTGTCTTCCTCCCTGGGTCAATTTGTTCGAATTCAATGGTGGTTTTGGGTTTGAAGATTGATTCGCTTAACGCCTGAGTGAGATCTCCGGCAACGGCGGAGCTGAATATGTAAAGCCCATAAAGCATATGAACAACGGAGCTCACTGATAGCTCTGCTAATTGAAGAGCTGATACAATCAACCATGGAATCATCCTCCTTAACGATTCCCCAAACCACAAAAAAACTCGATATTTCGTCTTCTTTTACAAAAACCCAGTAAACAAAATCTGGTTTTTTTCGATTACCCAGAAAAAAATCTTCTCTTTTCCAATTACTGTGAAAGGGAAACAAAGAAGAAGAAATGAGTCAACAACAGAGAACGGTCTCTGTCGACATTGAATGAAGATGAAAATCCCTAAAGCAAGATTTGAGTAATGAATTATGAAACTGTTTTTTTTTGCTTCTAAAAGAAAAAAAGATGTTTTTTTTCCCTCACCACACAAGTTTCTCGTTCGTTTTTTTTCCCTCACGAACGAGACCTGTGTTT